GTAGGGAAGCATCAATTAGACAGACTATTATACAACTATTAAAATCAGCACGTGAAGGCCATGTGGAAACATGGACTTGACATTGATGATCAAAGGGAAACAGTGTAGCCCGCATCAATCAGGTCCCTTTCTTTTTCCTACTGCAGGAGGCCTGCAGGAATGAAGAACTGTGTTGGGGGAGTGGTAGACTGTGAGTGACTTGTTCTCTGAATCACATATATAATTACTGTTTACTGTGGTCTGGGTCTGGCGTGGGGGTGGGAAAGATGGGGTGTGAAAGGTGGAGCAGAGAATGGAAATACATTTCCTGCTCCTCTCCAGCTTCAACTCTATGATAGGTTTTTCCTCTGAATGTCCTTCAATTCTGCCATAGTATCATCTTCCAACAAAAACCAGTTAATGATAGAAAAGAAGCAAAGAGGGCACTCCCCTCCTTCCGGGACATGTATGTCATTCCAGGTGTCAAAAGCACTTCCTACTACATTACATACATGTTAGAAGAAACCCGAATGGAATTATGGTAATGACATTTCAGTCTTATAATGTCTTAGTTTTCTCTGCAGCAAAAGCATTTTTTAAAAATCTATGTTAGAAAAAAAGTTAGAACTTGTTACTAATCTCGTGGTTGAATAATTAAGTGTACCTAATTCTGAAAGTAGCAAGTGGAATTATGCAGTGCCAAAAGCGACAACTCTCATACCTACACCATCTCGTCTATACCGGCATGGTTTTAGCTTTAGAGCTAAAAACCTCTGCCAGGAAACCTAATAAAAGGAAGCAAAAATATTTCTGTTTCGATCAAGCTGCCATTTGAGAAAGATTTTTAAATATGTTCTTCTCTATGTGTAAATCTGACAGCAGATGCATAATTAAAGCCCCAGTGGAGAGCTTCCTTTTAATCTTTTCAAAGTAAGCCAATAAAACATCCCTGAGGATGTGGATTAATACTTTTTGGACTATGCTGAATATCTCCAAGCTTCAGTGCTAGCTCCAAGAATACAGTTGAGAACAAGAGAGGAGCATAAGCCACTGTCTTCATCCTTAGTTCATCTGATCTCAGCCGCCGCAGATAATGACGTGCCAAAGCCCACACTTGCAACTGCCATGAGTGATGTTGCTTTGGATGTTTTTTAAATGGGGGAATGCAGATATGGATGCATTCACATTAAAATAAACTACATTCCAATGCCCCAGGGAATATGTCACAGAGGATAAATGGGAGAAGTAACAATTACCCAGAGTTTCAGTTCTGTGTGAGCAATCAGAATGAATAATTTAGACCACAAAGTGGATCTTTTTTTTAAAATCTTGCTTGAGCTACTCAGATGGACTTTCTATACAGATTCAACTACTGCTGAATAATCACAGACACGTTTTCCCACTGGCTCTGTGCTGTGTGGACACCTGTGTTTACACAGTTGCAAAGTGCCCAGCTCTGGATATGGAGCCCTGTTCAAGCCAAATGTCAGGACAAATATTCCATCTCACTACGATGTTCCATGTGACCTTGAGTACACACAGCCAGACTGAACCTTCCTTTAAGTTGCCCAATAGCAAAGTCCTATTCCTGTCCTTTTGTTACTTCCCCTGCACACATGCCCTTGAGGAGGATAGGGTGTGTACACATACATACTTGAGTGCAATAATGGAAAAAAGTGGCTTGGACCATTCTTCACCAGAATGTCCCCTATCTGCTAATGTCCCTGTCTCTGCTGTTCTTTGTACTAGACCTTGCCTGTCTAGCTGTTTACAGCCTATAAATACTTCTAACCCATCTGCCTATAAGATACATGGGATCCTTCAAGTTTTCTCTGTACTTAATGTTGCTGGTCCCTGCCCTGGTGTCATACACACACACACACACACACACACACACACACACACACACACACACACACACACACACACACACACACACACACACACACACACACAGATGGGGGAGACAGAGTGACGCATTATTAAATATTTCAGTGTTTCCAACAATATGAGCATGAAAGTATTGTAACATATACTATATAACTTCAACTCTGAATCTAGGTGAATTTCTTATTACCTGTGTAATCTTATGCAAATCTTCAACACCGTACTACGTAGACTTGGACCAAGGATTGCCTTCTTGTTCTGGTCATTTTTAGTGAGGATGGCTAAAGTATGCTGCAACCCACCTGCCCAGGTTGGAATATACTTTAACACCTGGCTTTCAGAACACACTTTAACCTTTCAAATACAGCACTGGGCCTGATACACACAATACTTCATATTTATGGAACAAAGGATTATCTGTACTAAAGACTAGCTGGATCATTTATCTGAGTCTATACAACACACACACACACACACACAAAATATCCTGTTTCATTAGACAGGATACACAGCTGAATCAAGTCACTTTGGACCCTTGAATTCCACACTGCCGCATGAACCATGCACATTGTCATGGTCAAGTAAAACTAAGAAAATGCTAGTTTTCCTCTTCCTTGGGTGAGGTAGCAGAGAATTCTGATTACTCATTTAGAATTGAGTTTTGGCTCCCTTTGTGGTTGAATTCATAAAAACATCAGTAATACTAACAACTGGACATTTCAAGGGAAGGAAATGTGTAAGCAGAAAAACTGACATATGTAGGTCTTTACTAAAATCCTCATCCAAGTCCATCTTTTACAGAGAAGGCTGAAATGGTAATCATGCTAGCTGGGAATTCAGCAGAACTCACTTGATTAACATAAGTGACCAATTTAAAACAGTACCCCAAAATGTTACAGCAAGCAGACAGCTGGCAGAGACTACTCATGTGGCAGTTTTGATATCTCTGCAGAGGGCTAGTTCAATCCTTAACCATCCAGAGTCTGGTAGATTTTGGAAACAATGTGCTAGGTCATTCATACCATGACACAGCTTCAGTGTACACCTCCCCCCCCCCAAATATACTGCTTGCCTACATCTAAAAACACACATCAAGAGAGAACACAGTTCCTCTCTGCTTGCCTGAAGAGCAGCCAATATTGCCAGTAGATTAAACACTGGGGCATGGAACAATTTTTGAACAAGTGGACTAGATTTTGTGCACAGAGCTGAGAGAGAAGCTTCAGAAGCCATGCCTGGGTTTAGAATCACTCTGAAGGGTCAGTGAATGGAAGATTTCTAGGAGCTCCTGAGAGACTCACGGTGAGCACAGGTCACAAGAATAGGGTCTTTGGATGTATTCACAGCTTGTATGGGAAGAGAACACTGCCAACAGCATCCCCTTATCCTGCAGTTCCATTAGGATGCTAGGATAAGGATGTTACTGGGAGAAAGACGCTGTGACAGACTATGTTCACAGGTGTACCTCCTGGTAGAAGCAAAGGCAAATGTTTATAAGAGGAAGAATACATGTCAACAATGAACTATAAACACATGATGTCATCCTCCAAGATTAAGCATCCTTAGTACTTTTAAAGCTCTTAAAAAAAAAATCCTCTAGTTGCTATAGCAACTTGATGCAGCTCTTAAAAGGGGATTTTTTTGAGGGGGTCATTTTATATCTTCAATCACCATAACAACATGATATATTTTTTAAAGGGTATTTTTATCTAATTTGTGTAGACTTTGGAGTCAGTCCATATTTGTCTTTTCTATTTAAAATAATCAGATCAAACATGACACATGCAAAAATGGAGGCAAGAAAGCTCTTTCACAGACCACACACACACACACACACACACACACACACACACACAAAGGGGGGGGGAAGGGAGAGAGAGAGAGAGAGAGAGAGAGAGAGAGAGAGAGAGCCAGACACATCTCTTGATCATGCATACCACCTCACTCCCGGCCTCCATCCTCCATGCTGGCCCCAGGAAGGGGTGTTTATGAAGTTCCTCATTTCTCAGCTCTGTAAGTACAGCCTTACAAAGGGCACTAGCAGAAGAGAGTACCTTGGGGTGACTAGTGTGGCCAGTCAAGTGCTTCTCCTACCCTGGGACTCAAGCAGGAGTGGTAGAGACACACACCAAGCCTTGTCAAAGTGAGGAGCTGGGTTCCTTCTGCACTCTGTACTGCTGAAGAAATGGGGAGGGGCCGTTTCACAGGATGCTGAAGGCCTAGGGAAAGGGGAGAGTGGAGGAAGTGGTGGTGGGAAAAGTGAGGGTGGACAACAGGGGTGGGTGGAGAATCTCTCTCCAGAAGGAGCTCCAGGGGACTTCAATCTAGCTGAAAAAGGGAGCGTTGAGGACTCAAGAGTCCAAGAATCTCCACAGCGTTCTTCCTAAGATTAAGAAAACATGAACTGTTTATACCAAAAGTGCAAAGCAGAGGAAACTGTCTCCTGGCTCTTGGCATCACAGCTGGTTGGAAAAAGTGGCGAGGGAACAAAGAAAAGCGGTCAAGAATTTGAAGAAGTTGGGGTGTGTGGAGAGGGGAAAACCAGGGAGGACTGTGTGAAACCGCGGATGCCGGGTTTGGGAATAACGGACTTGACTTTGAGGGGTAGGGCAGTGTTTGGACAGGAGCAGAAGCAGGTGCGGTACGAAGGAGATCTAGGTAAAGTGAGTCAGGTCAGGTCCTCCCTCCCCAGAGTAGAAGCCGCTAAGAGGAAAACCACAGGTAAAGAAGAGGAGAGTGCAGACGAAGAGGAAATTAAGAGTGGAGAGAGAAATGGCTTTCGCAACCACCTACTGAGGACAGTGAGATCTAGGTGGGGTGGGGATGAAAACCGAGGGGCAGAGGTGGACTATAGAGCCCCTCAAGTGCCTAGCGTCTGGGTGAGGATCTCGGGGTTCAGACACACTAACAGGAGAGTGAACACTGCTGAGGGTGCCAGAGATAGTCCTCTCAGGCCAGCTCCCAGGCCGAGAGCAAGAAAGGGAGGTAGGAGGACGTGTGGAGAGAGCGAGGCAAAAGTAGGCAGAGGGCATCAGAAGGGAAAAGAAGACCCGGGTACGAGGACCCAACCTCCGATCACTGGAAAGGGCAGAGTGAAAGGCGCGCGGTGGAAAGGCGCAGAGCGCACCGCTCACCTATGGTCGACACCACGGTGCCCACGAAGTAGAAGGCGCCCGGGAAGTCCCAGCGCGGGCGCAGCGCGTCCGCACGGACCCCGGCGGCCAGAGCCGCCTCGTAGTGTCGGAGGAAGGCGCGCAGCTCCGGCTCCGCCACGCCGTGCGCCGCGCTGAAGTTGCGCAGCGTGGCTCCCCAGCGCGCCCGCGCCTCCGCCTCGCCCGGGCTCTCCAGCGCGGAGAAGATCGTGGCACCCGCCACCAGGTAGAGGCCGATGAGCGCCGCCAGCAGCACGAAGCGGCCGGTGTCCTCGTTGAGGTGCGAGCGGCGGCAGCAGCAGCAGCAGCAGGAGGGGCGCGGCAGGCGGCGGCGGCAGCGGCGGGGCGGGGGCCGGGGGCTGCGGGAGGACATGGTCCGGAGCTCAGCCCCGGGGCTGGGGCGGCGCTCGGAGCCTGGGCCGCGACATCCCCGCCGTAAGAGCAGGAACGTGAGGATGGTGGCCAGGGGTCGGGGGCCGCTGCGGAGCCCCTCGGTCGCCTCCCCGGAGCCGGGACGGCAGTTCAGGCCACGCACAGGTCGCGCGGCCCAGCAAGGACCCGGGCTGGAGCGCGCCTCCCCGCGCCCCGACGCCTTGCAGCCTCCCGCCGCTCCTTCCCGGTCGCCCTCGGGCGCGGGACTTCGAAGCTAGGCCCCTGCGTTCCTGTGACCGGAGTCCACGGGGCCCCGGGCCGCATACTCCTCTCGGGACTGGCTGAGGGTAGGAGGAGCCTTGGAGCCCCGGCGCCTAAGACCCGGACGCAGTTAGCCGACCCAGAGCCAGTCCTCTGCGGCGTCCCATATGGCGACGCGGGCTCGGTGGCTCCCAGACGCAGGCTGCGCGGACAGTCCTGCTTCCACCCCCGGGCGGCGTCCCATATGGCGACGCGGGCGGCGTCGGCTTTGGAGCCTCGGAGCCGAGGCGAGTCCACCCGGGAAGCTCTCGCTGTTCCAGCCGAAGAGCCACCCGGCACGGAGAGGCGGAGTCACCCGAGCCCGGGGCGGGGTGTTGGGGAGGGGTGAGCACGGAAGGGAGGAAGGGGTGGAGAGTTGGGCTGCTGAGACTCCTTGGGGTGGTTCTGGAGGCTCCAATGCGGGCCACCCGAGCAGGTGTCCCACTGCGGTGCTCGGCGGCCACAGCACTAGACCCGAGCGTCTTGCGCGTCTCGGCCCTTGGGCTCCGAATCCTTTCCTTTATCAAGCCGTGGGAAACTTCGCTCAACTTGGTGCTTGGCGATCTCTAGGGCTGGGGGCCACAGGGCGCCAATCCTCGACTCCTGATCCTTCGGCTCCAGCCTGAAGTTTAAGTACCTTTCGCTCACTCTTGCTCCTGGATCCAACTCAGCGGAGTCCTCTGGAGGGAAGTGACCCGGCTTGGGGACCGAGGAGAGGCAGTGTCCGGGCTCCCGGCGCGGCGGGAACCTGGGCGTCTGCTCCCCCTCCCGAGAGAGCGGCCGGCCGGCGTCAGCACCGCGGACAGCGCATCGGTGCGGCAGCCGGGATGGGCAGCTCCAGGGCTGCCGGGGCCGGCCGCGCCGGGCGAGGCTGCTCGCCCTGCTGCTGCGCGGTGCTCCCCAAACCCTCCCCGTTTCCCTTTCTACCTCCGGTGTGTCCCTCCCAATCCCAAGGCAGGTGCTGTCGCCGAAACGGCGAGTCAACAGGGTGGGGACGCTGCGGAACGGAGGAGGAGGAGTCACGCGCAGGTGGCGGACCCGGGGCCTTCTCTGGATTCTCCAGCTCGCCCTTCCCGGGGCGAGAGCCTAGATACAGCCCCGGCTGCGGTAAAGGGTAGAGGAGGTTAGGTGCCCCTGCTCGGCTGGCGCGGGGCACCGTGTGCTCTGTAGCGCCCTGGGGAAGTGGTCGCCCCCTTCTGCCCCACATCGGTGGGGAAAGATAGCGGGTGATCAGCGTAGTCCCGGGCCCTTCTCTGCGGAACAGAATCCTCTTTGGCTAGGACCACAAAGTTGTGTGGCGAAGAAGCCCTCGGTACAGACAGAAAACCACCCTCTAGGTTGCCAGTCCCCTTTCCGCCCCCTTTTCCCTTTTACTGGCCGCGGGGAAGAGGATCCTAATACTAACACACATAGATGACCTGAAAGAAAGATTATGACAGTGACTGTGCTTAGCTATTCCAGGTACCTGAGTGAACTGTGGCAAAATTCAGAGCTGTCCTGGGTCCCCGCACCCATCCCTAAACCAGGCTTTCTGGCTTTCATTGTAGGAAAATTCCAAGCTAAGATCTACTCAGAGTGGTGGCTGCAGCATTTGTCTCTTAATGGCCTGCCACTCACTGAACATTTCAGTTATGAAACTGGGGTTCTCTGACCCACACTTAGAAGTACAGGCTTGGACTAGAGGCAGGAGAGCTGTGGAATGCTGAGCACACCTGACTTGGGATGTGGATTATGATGAACCAGGGGCAGTGAAAGCTTACCTCCTCCCAGAGTCCCTGCCCCAATATATGGGGGGAGAGGACTGTGCTCCTCTTCCTATATGTAGATGGGGAGAAATCCACTCCACCATAGGCTTTCAGGCCTGGATGATGAGTGGCTAGTTTGGGTGTGAAGGGAAAAACAACTTATTCACTGAGAAATCTTAGCCCCATGATTCAGTTCTGGAGCACAATGAAACCTTTATCCAAACACCAACCATTACAAACTATTGCTGTTTTCAATTGCTTTCTCCCAAGCCTCCCCTGGGTTCTCTGCCCATGTCACCCCAAGCCCTGTTTCTCCAGCCTCTCTCTCATACTAGCCCCTGTGGACAGTGAAAATAGCCTAGCCATGGACCTCTGGGACTGAGCATCACTTGGCTGGTCAGTTTTGAAAGAAGTCCTGAGAAGAGTCATTTCAGGAGTTGGCCCTGGAGCCTCCAGATGCAGCTGAAAGGCCCGGCCAGGTCTCTCAGGCTTTGCCTGGACTCCCAGAGCAGGGATCAGGTGATTCGCTGCAGTGTCCAGTGCCTCTGGAACCAGCTTCTTGCCCAGTTGGCAGAGGTCCTGCCCTGTCCACTGACTTGTGATTCTAGCTTGATTAGCAGCAGCCCCTTGGCATCAGTTTCAACTCTGAGTGACCAAATCAATTTATATAATAGGAAAATTATGAGCTCCCTGCTCATAGATGTGGGTCCTTTAAGGAACTAGCCCCTTGAAGAATGTGATTTTGTCCACTAAATCAGTATTTAAGTTATTGACTGCCAGCTGGCTATCCTCAATGCTTCTACTTCAGCCCTGAATTGCTGTAGTCTAAGGCTAGGACTTGGTCTGGCAAGTGTCTCCCCACATAGGTCCATCCTGACTTCCTGACTGCCCGACTACTGTGATCACACCCATTCAGTCTGATCATGTGACACATGCCTCTAAACCATAATCTCCAATGGTTCTCCAGTGCTATATAAATTTGGTGTTTAAATCTTTGAGGTTGTGGTTCAGAGCCTTTAATGACATGATTCCAGAGAGGGGAAAAATCACCCCAGCCTTATGCACTACCTCTTACTCTTTAAAGACTGTGTTCCCAACCCAGACACCAGGTCCTTTACAGCTCTTCAAATATAGAGTCGGCTCAGTTAGTTTCTTTTCTTTCAAATGTTTATTTTACGTGTGTGTGTGTGTGTGTGTGTGTGTGTGTATACATGCTACTGCATATATGTAAGTCAAAGGACAACTTGTGGTACTCAGTTCTCTCCTTCCACCATGCGGGTTCTTTCTCCAAAACTTTTCCTTTGTAGGAAGTTACTTTGATGCCATTATTTTAACCCCAGGGTTCTTGAATCTGTGATGAACTCAGGAACTTCAAGACAAGTAAACAGGTGCACCCTCTGTCTTTTCCTTCTTTCCCTCCTTCTCTCCTTCTTCACCTTTCTCCTCTTTCTCTCATTTATAAAGGAAGACAGTGCTGGGGTGTTGTCCAGGAAAATGCGGTCAAATGCAACCTCAACTGGCATTTCCATTCATAGACACACAGCTAAAATGCACAAAAGGTAATCCATTATATACAAAACATTGATGATCATAGTAGCAAAAATGAAAACAATTGTTAGATCTATGAGCTGAAAAATGAGAAAATAAAATGTAGCATGTCTGTACAATGAAATGTTCAGCAGCAAAAGAAATGAAGTGCTGACGTGGGCAACAACATGTAAGAATCTTTTAAAAAATGTACTTGAGAAAAGCCACATATTATGAGCCCATTTGTATGAAGTGCTCATAATGAGCAAATCCACAGACAGCAGCAGCTTAGTGGTGGCTTAGGGGTTAAGGGCAGATGGGAGCAATGATTAATGGGTATGGGTTTCCATTTAAAGGTGGTGAAAATGTTTTAAAGTCGATTGTGGTGATGATTGTATGGCTCTGTAAATAGACTAAAAAGCATCCAATTATATACTTTAAATGGCTGAATTGTATGGTATGTGAACTAGAGCTCAATAAAGCTGTTTAAGAAGTACAAGTGCAATTAACCGGACAAGTCTTTATTTAAAAAAAAAAAATAGAAGTAGCCAGGCGTGGTGGTGCACGCTTTTAATCCCGGCTATGTCACAATTTATTTATTCATATTCTTGATGAATGGCATCTTGATTGCTTTCAACTTTTTACATCTTCTATTTATTATTTTTATTTTATGTACATGAGTATATTGCCTGCATGTGTGTAAGTGCACCCATGTTGTGCAATGCCCTTGGAGGTCAGAAGAGGGTGTCAGATCCCCTGGAACTGGAATTATAGACATTTATTAGCCTCATGTGGGTTTTGGGATTTGAACCTGGGTCCTCTGCAAGAGCAGTCAGTGCTCTTAACCACTTAGCTACCTTTCCAGCCCCAGTGTTGTGGTTTTGTAACTACCACACTGAGGAGGCTAAAGCAGGACTGTGAGTTCAAGACCTGCCTGGAGTAAGTAACAAGTTTCAGACCAGGTTGGGCTACATCGTGAGACTCTGTCACAAGCAAACAAACAAGACATCCCTCTGAAAAAAGAAAAAGAAAAAGAATTTATCTCAAGGAAAATAATTTCTTTAAAACAAAAAGTATAGAGGAGGTGGATATAGGCCAGTCAGTAGAGTGCTTGCCTAGCATGTACAAGGTTTGGGTTCAATTCCCAGAACCACATAAAACCCATTGTGATAGCACATGCCTGTAATCCTAGCACTTGGGAGTAGAGTCAAGAGAATCAGAAGTTCAAAGTACTTAGTGAGCTTTGAGGCCAGCCCAGGATGCATGTGACTTTGTCACAAAAACAAACACAGTAATTTTAAAAGTGGAAAATTGGAGCTAGTTAAGCTGTGGTAAACACAAAATTATGAAATTAAATTTGAACAAAGGAATTTGTTCCAGTAAATACTTCCTTTTAAAAATTAATTTGTGGTGTTGGGGAGATGACTTAGTGGTTAAGACCACTGACTGCTCTTGCAGAGGACTGAAGTTCAGTTCCCAGCAACCACATGGCACCTAACAACTGTCTGTAACTTCAGTTCCAGGGGATCCAACACCCTCTTTGACCTCTGTGGGCATTGCATGACATGGGAGCACTTACATACATGCAGGCAATAATCTCATATAAAATAAAAGTAATAAAATATTTTTAATATATATTTGAATTTTTGTATATTTTATACATAACATCCTAGTCCTCTCTATACTCCCTTTCCCACTGGAAGCCTCCTATAACCCCTTCACACACTGGATTTCATGTATTTTTTCATTTATGTTAAGGCCTATTGAATCAAGTTAGTGTTCCATGACATCCTTCAGTGCAAGTTCATCCACTGGGATCTAGTCAGCCTATCTAGAGTCACTCACTTAAAAAAGAGTAATCAGGTCGGATGTGGTGGCACATGCCTTTAATCCCAGCACTCGGGAAGCATAGGCAGGT